CGGGACGGGACATATTCCCAGGAGCTTATGGGAAAACATTCCCATTTCCCACAGAGCACCAGCACTGATGAACTAATGAAACCAGACTGGTTGAAAAACATAACAAACGCAGGTCATCTCCGATCCAGGCACTGGCACTGAGAGGCACTGCTTATGGAGTACTAAATTAAAAAAAGAAACAAAACAAAACTAAATAAAACCCCAAAAACGTGTGAAACAGCAGAGTGGGTTTAGCTTAATACTGAAACCTGTTGTTTGCAACAGTAGGTAGGAAGTGAACACAAAAAAAAATGCTGAACTTGAAAAGAAAGCACAAAACTTTCATTCACAGCTGTTCGACGCGAAAACCAAAAGACAAGTCGTGGGGAACAAAGGGAAAAAAAAAAGGAACTGAAAAAAAAACGGATACAAAAGAAATTCAACACGTGAGGAAGAAAGGGATATTTGGCGTGTGCTGAGGTTGATGAGGACTGACAAAATTGGCTTCCTTTGTCTCTCAAGCTCGAATCACTCTCGCAATACAAGGCTCTTCAAATTCTCATCTTTCTCCTTTAAAATTTAATTTGTATACACTATTTATCACTCCGTGTCCGTGTTGATGCGTTAGGGTCTCATGTATACAGTGTTGACTGTTTTGATCAAAAAAAATAATGTTTGTACATATGGGTGTGAATTTCAGTCAGGCTTGAGCGAACAAGTCTCTGTGCAAGGTCACCTTGAGTGGTAGGAAAAGGGACTATCCTGTTTTCCCAAGTCCTTCTTGTCAGTTTTCGTCCCAGAATGCTGTGGTGCATGAGCGTCTGCCCCCCACCCTTCGGAAGGTGAACGGAACTGTGGCGGCAGTCGTGGACCGTGGCAAGATGGAGAGAAATGTTGGCGGCAACATATCGGGGAAGTGAGCGATCGGTCCTGACATGGAGAGACCCGGGGCAGGTTGCTCTCCCCCACCCTCCCCGTTTTCCAAACATGTCCCCTTTAAGTTCACCCCCTTCACTTCATGTCCACGTCGAAGTCCAGCACCAGGAGCTTGGTTTCCTCTGTGCCGTTACGGCTGCCCACCGCACAAACGAGTTTGGTATTGGAGGCGCGGATGCGCCAGACCACGCCGCCGCTGCCTCCGCTCTCCAGTGTGACCAGGTTGCGGATAAACTCGCCCGTCCGAAGGTCCCACAACTTCACCGTACCGTCATCGGAGCTGGTGATGACAAAATTCTTGTTGAACTGCAGGCATGTTACTGCACTCTGGTGCTTGTGGGGACCTGAGAGCAAAATAAAAGAAACATAAGTTAAAAAAGTAAAAAAGAAGTGCACTAATTTGTATTGAATGAACACTTATAATGCATTTAATATCTTTAAAGTATATAATTTTTATAAAAATAACTTGCAAATATAATATCGCTGAAATAAAAGCCAATTAAAAGGATAGGTTTCATTAAAAAGATCTTTGTGTTCAGAAGACTAACCAAAATGTTATGGGTTTGGAACGACATCCAGAATTATTTTTTGGGGGTGAACTATCCCTTTAAGTATATTTATAGAGAGTACACTTTCATGACTATGTTTCTTAAGTACTTTTAAAAAGAGCACTTTGTAATAAAGTAATTGTAATTGTAAAAATAATTGTTTTAATAATCTTTTGTTGTACTTTGGAGTCCGTTTTTGATCTGTTTACTAACATACTAATGTACAAACTAAAGCACATGTACAATACTGTTATTCAATATAAAAAAATTGCAACTTCAACATTACAAATGTGCAATAAATGCATTAAAATACATGCCACACACATTTCGGTAACACTGTTTTAAGCTGTCCTTGTTACGTGTCCTTCAAGCTGTAAGCTTACTATTTTAAGCTGTACGTTACATGTACTTACTATTACAATAACAACAAATTATGTATAATTACATGCAAGTCGCCCTAAACCAAACCTTAATCCTAACCATATAGTACGATAAATGTAGTTAATTAATATTACTCCGTAATTAAATGTATAATTACAATGTAACAAGGACACCTTAAAATAAAGTGTAACCTAAATTTCAATATTAAAGTATATTTTAGTTTACCATAAATGCTTGTCAGTATATTTGGCTGCACACTTTAAACATATTTCATAACTCAATAAAAGTAACTGTTAAGTTACATACAAAGATTCACTTAAGTTTTATTAATTGGTTAAAAAAAAAACACTCTTAAGTTTAACTAACAGCATTTAATATACATTTAAACTAAAATGCATTTATATATATATGCAAATAATAAGCCTTTAAGTGTTCAAAACATTACATCCAGATCACACTTAAGTATATTCTTAAGTACATTATTTTCTTAAGTCCTTTTTTAAAAAAGTGTACTACTTAAGGAATTCCAGATGGAGACACTGCAACAGTGAAATCACCAATAGACAAGAAATTGAACTGCAGCTACTTGCCACGGCAGAGAGCGAAGAGAGAACGTGTAACTATGGTTACGGGAAATACTGTGGCATAAATGGCTTTGATTCTATGCCCTTGAGGTATTGAATTGAGCCAGTCTTTCTGATAGGCCAAGAAACATGCGAGTCTAAACAAAAGTGCTTAGACTGCTGTCAGTGAGGAATATACAGTAGAGCAAAAAAAAAAAAGAGATGCGCTATAATGGCTCCTGTTACTGCAGAGGGGTGTGGTGAGCTATTACAGCAACATCACAGGCAATCCACAGAGTGAAATACGGAAAATCACGTTATCAAATATCTAGACCTGAGAACAAAGACAGACTGAAGTTTGAGTGAATGAAACTAAAAATATCCATTTCAAAGGCATGAATTTGTTCATGAATAGTGAATACCCATTAGCAGAGGGCTAAAGTCAACTGTGTGAATGCAAATGAGATGGCCGCTCTCTACTGATGTGCAAGACACTACACAGAGCGCCACAATAGTCCCTTTTCTTTAATGAGTGACTCTGTGTTTGAGCGTTCGCACTTCAAAGCTCCGCCGCTGAGCTGAGCATCTTGTCTGGGGTTAAATGCGTGTTTTTGTGTATTATGTCAAACGAGAGTCATTAAGTGATAACAGGAAATGCTCAATGACCTAATTAAATGACCTACAAACTGATATATGGTCCATCCCCCCTCTTTAGTACCCTCTGGGCACCCCCAACAACACACCCCAACCCCCTCCAATTCCTTTCATCATGTCATCAATCCCTCACCCTTCCACAAGAGCAAGGCTCAAGATGCTAAGAGAGGCTGGGAATTATGAAAAATACATCTTTGGAAACACAAAACGCCTGTGAGGTAGTGAAAAATATGATCGTTTGCCTCTAGACTGTGACTATAAATTATGTGTTTGTGTCTAAAATGGATATTCTATTGTTTTAAGCATAAAGTGCTTGAGGCACATAAAATGTGATATTTGAAACTAAAGAACACTTTATAAAATTAAATAACCACACAACAAGCAGTCTGATTATTAATTAATGATCTGAAGCTCTTAAAAGAATGGTTCACCCCCAAAAATATATTTTTATTTTCAATTATTTATTTATTCACGTTGTTCCAAATTTTCATGCAATTATTTTTTCACAAAAGTAGAACGTTTTGAATTATCTTTTTATACAAAACAGTTCTAAGCGGCTGTCAAGCTCCACAAAAGAACAAAATATAGCATTATGGTACTTGTATGCCAAGTTTTCTGAAGCCACATGATAAAGGTGTGAATTTAAGAATTATGTTGCTTTTGAAGTTGGCAGAAATTGTGATCTTTCCTTCCTTATCGTGACGCATATTAGAGTAAAACAGCTTCTCGAATGAGGAAAAATAAATAGGGTGGGACTACGAGGGAGCATTAATAAAAAAAAAAAACATCAAATTTGATATCATGGTGATTTTTAATCACTGATGGGTATCATTGTCATTTTTAGGTGGATTATTCCTTTATCAAGTCAAGACTCCCTCTGCTCACCTTGCAGTGTTTGTAGGCACTGGCCGGTCTTGATGTCCCAGATCTTGACGGTGGAATCTGCATTTCCAGAGACTGGCTTTGGAAGGCGGTAGATGTTACCTTTTCTCATGCAAGTGCATACAGCGCACTGTTGAGGTATGACCGTACAGCGTGTGGATACATTCTCCCGTCTCTGCATTCCAGACCTTCAGCGTTCGGTCTGTGGAGCCACTGATAATGATGTTGTCTCGCATCTGAGAGGACCAGACCCCACCGGTGTGGCCGACTAACGTCCGCAAACACTGGTGAAAAAGAGAACAAATACAAAGGTAAACCAATTGAATCACAATGCCACATATATAAACTGCAACTCTGAAAAAATGGCCAAAAAAGATTTCAAATGAATTACCCAATGCCTGCACCAATTAGAAGCATTCTGGATCCATCACTTTAACCTTTACCCAAGACATAACTTCTGCTTATCAACATACATCAAATAACTTTACAGTCCATTCGAAGCAGGAAGCAGCATTAATGGAAAAAGAAACACTCTTTATTTCACCTGATATATTAGATATTGATCAGCTTGATGAGAGAATTCCCTTAGAATAAACCATGAGGCTAAGGGCCATTTCCTCTAAATATAATTAAACCAAATTCAATTTCATTTCAGAGGCAAACACTGAATCAAAGGTCATTTCGTTGTGTTATGAAGCGAGTGGAAAGCGTTGCAAGTGTCAAAGGCGCAACCTCTGAACCATGACCGATAAAAGCAGGGGTGATAAACCCAGGAGATGTGAAAGAGGAGGTCTCAAGGCCTTTAATTCATAATGCAGCTGCTCCTATTTCTGTCTCCATCTCGATCATGATCAACCGTAATGCATCATTAATCTTTAGAAGCGGTGACCAACCTCCAAGACACCCGGGGCTTTCGAGTGTTTTAACGCGTCTTGCTTTGTTCCATCGCCGTATGTGGCAGTTGATGGAACAAAAGAGCAAGCACTGAGGAAATCAAACCAATTAACAGTCATTTAAAACCATTACTGTACTAGCAAAAAATGACAAATTGGACTGGGTTAAAAGCAAGAATGGCTCTTTAAGGGAACTGGAGAAACAACAAAGATGTCGCCTCTGAACAATCCATGTTAAAACATGCCCAAAGACAATTTCTTATCATCTTGTGATCAAAAGCTTCTCCGCTCACATTTGTAGTGTCCATAACATGCCAGAGAGAAAAAGGAGGGGGTTAAATCATGAATATTAATGCACTTCTTACTGCATTATGCATGAGGTGTTGTGTTCCATAATGAGTATGTGTTACTAAGGCAATGGATCTTTCCCATGGAATGTTGAGGTGGTTTAAATAGTGCCGGCGAGCACAGAAAGCTTTCAGGCCGTGTTCTCAGGCGATTACAGCCTGCTCAGGCTGTGTCTGTGAGAGGACCTTTGAAACCAAATGGCTTAGGTGTCTGTTTATCTGCCCGTTGAGAAACCATAAAAGAGCAAGTCTGTGGCACCCACGAGGCATGGAGATTAGCATTCCGTTTGAGTGGCTGGTGGGAAACGTTTGAAGCCAAGGATCGAGGTTTAAACCCCTTCCAAATTCCACTCATTTTACAGTCCACATCTAATCTTAGGGAAGAAGATACCGTGCAAATTGCGGCAAAGTGCCAGTGCTTATTTTGCTTAGTCTCCTTCCAAAAATCCACATTGCGCTCATCGGACTGAAGTGGCTCGCATTTCAACCCCCTCGTTCTTGTGTTCGAAACCCACCGCATCTCTGAATGGCTAGGACTGGAGCACATATTTGTGTCTCAGATGGTGAGCAGACTGTTTGGAGCAGCTGTTTTCATTGCTAACCCTCCTATTTCCATACCAAAAAAGTCCTCTCCCATCTGGAAGAGCACTATTAGTAAAGCTTTTCATTATCAAACCACAGAATACAATGGTTTGTGGGAACTGTGGTTGAAAGAACATCTGTCTGTTAAATACAGTTAAGCTGTTGAGCTTGGGCTCTGTAAAGGAGTTAAAGGAGGGTATACAAGGTAAACAAATGAAACAATGGTGTGCGGAATGGTTCTCATGAGCACAAACGTCTTCTAGGGCCAATAAATATGGGTAAAAAGAATTTGAGTACAAACCCTAGCATGTCCCCACCATTTTACATCACTAAACCAAATTAGTACCAAGCTTTCTGGGAAAGACAGACTATTGTAAAAGTCATAAGAGGTTAGACCAATGATGTTTAACTTGTTTCAAAAAGTTGAAGTACTAAAACTACTAAAACTGAAATAAAGCTAAATAGAAATATTCAAAAAATAAAAATAACAAAAGCACATAAAATTACTAAAACTAAAAATTTAACAACACATAATAGTGTACAAAGGTCACACTTCAAGGTTCAATTCTTGCTATTAACAAACCATTGACTACGACTTTTGCCTCAAACTCCTAATTTTCTGTTTATTAATAGTTAGTTAGGTAGTTGTTAAGTTTAGGTATTGAGTAGGATTAGGGATGTAGAATATAGTCACGCAAAAAATGTGCCTTATAATGTGCCTTATAAGCACTAATAAACAGCCAATATGTTAATAATAGGCAGCTAGATAATAGTGAGAATTTTTCCTTATACTAAAATGTTACCTGTATAAATAAATAAAATAACACTGGGCTATCCTCATTACATATGAATGGTATGGAGCTAATTATCTAACTACAGCTACCATAAAATCCATTTAAATATCTTAAGAGGGGGTTTTAAGACCATCAGGCCACAAACAAGAGGTTTGCACTGATTCAAGAACAGATTTATATATATATATATATATATGATTTGCAAGATCAGCATAAGAACGTAATCTCCGGCTGGGTGTGTTTGTTTCTCTGATGCAGAAGTGGGTGGAGGGTTTGGGCAGGAGTGCTGCAGTCTGCATGTTAAGGAGTTGGTGGTCAGCCAAAGGTGCAGTCTGAGTCATGGCTGGAGAGCGGGAGGGGGAGGAGAGAGTCGCAGGGAATTAAAAGCAGAATAAAGCAGCGAAAATGAGGGGAGAGAGTGTGAAATAGAGCCTTTATCCTAAAGGCTTTAGGATAAGTGAAAGTTGTGTTGAAAGAAATAAGTAAACAGGAGGATGGAGGCCGGAGGGCTGTTTTCACAGTATGAGCAAATGCATATGCTCATACTCTTCCTGTGACCTCTTCCCTCCTCTCTACAGTATGTCCTGTCACACCCAGGCCTCCTGCGACAGCATAAACATCTCCATGAAAGGTGACCTCCAGAGGCAGAGAGCTGCTTTCAAACATTACAGAAACAGTCTCATGGGCTTTCGGACTTGAAATTGTTGATCTAAAACCAGGCTTTCACACAATTCATGGGTTAGTAATTAATCTTGAAAAAGTTTTAAGATTTCACACTCTATATTTGTAAACACCAGATTAACATTCATGTTTGCATATTCATCAGGGTACAAAATGCAAGTACAGCTGCTTTAATACTTGCTAGTTCATCTGTGGAAGTTTTGGCGAATCAGCTTGTCCTTTGAAATATTCTGAAATATAGTACAACCATAATACAGTTGCTACTTTATTCCAGTAAACATATTCGTCACCGCTGTTCAACATGACTTTTTTTCCCCTCAGGTGCTGAAACTAAATGGTACAAAAAGCTCATGAATATAGCTCACGAATCTATCTATCCATCCATCCATCCATCCATCTATCATAGGGATCATACAGAGAATTTTAAGCAAATATTGTATAACAGAGCATAACGAGAATATTTATATTAACCACTCAGCATTTTCTTAATTTCCATGACTTTGCTAAGCCTGAAAATCACACTTTCGTTTGATGTGCAAACTAAAGAGTGAGTTAAATCAATTTTTATTTTTTAGGTTTTTTTAAACTCACCCCTAAATGAACCCTAACCTTTATTTTATTTATTTTTTATATTTTATATTGTATTTATTTATTTTCTAGAGATCACGCATACAAGAGAACATTTTAACCAAATAAATGTTTTATAAAAGCACATAAGAAACATTTCTATTAACTACAAAATTTTCAGTGATTTTATTCATTTCCATGACCTATCCAGGCCAGGAAATCACACTTTTGAAAAACAGCTAGCCAGGCCAGGTTTCCCTTTCAAAATTGCAAGTGAGAAATGCAGCTTTAAACCCAGTGTGAAAAGCCTTTTACTATTTATTTAGTCTTATTTTCAAGGTATCCACATAACCTTTTGTGCACACCAAAACTTTCCACGCCACTCATCACTGCACAGGTGAAAAGAGCTGTGGGTAAATCCTGTCGACACATCTCAGAGAAGCCAGATTAAATACGTCTTAGCCCAGGGCTGGTTGTGACGTGACAGAAAGAGAGAGATGTTGGCCAAGTGTCACTGACACTATATAAGGAATATTCCACAGGTGTTTTGAAACTGAGATGTCAGGCATGTCCATACAGCCGGCACAGAGGAAACCTGGTGAGCATCTCGGAAGTTTTAGGAAGAATCATCTTCGACTCAGGGAGATGAGTCTGACAGCTCCCAGTGAGACCGAGAGAGAGAGTGCTACATATAATCTGTGAAGTGGTGCAAATCTCTAAAACACCTCACTTATTTACCAGGTAATCTGAACAGTGTAGTTTTTGTTGGTCATGTCATGGAGACAACATTAAAACCAAAGACCATAGAAGCCCCTATTCTTAACTTGATCCTAATCCAAAACAACTCATCTCTTTGCTTATGTCTCAGTCACATTTCATCCCTCATCAGACGCTTATCGTACTGTACACATCCTCAAGCATGGCACACATTCAAATGAGCAGGATGCTGCGTTAGAGCCTAATCTTCCCTCAAAATCACTTCCTTATTACACACAGCATGAGGCCCATTCATTTACTATGGAAGGGGGCCAGTAACAGCATTATCAAGCTAGCGCGGGTGAAGATGGTCTGTAATCCACGGCACGCCCATCAGATCTTTATCTACCGTTCAAATCAGGCGTTGCTCAGACATTTACTTATTTTCATGTCTGGCTAATGATACTGGTGTGAGCTATAAAACAATAACAATATAGCGATATAAGTTTGTCAACCAGTATACACTTTCTAACGTGGTTATGCTAGCGCTTCCTGCACAGCTTTTCAGATTCAGTTGTAAATAAAGGGATGTAACCACTAAATGATGGCAAGAAATCATGTCTAGTGAATTATTCTCAAGCAAGGTTCATGAAAACTCGGAGGTTCATAACTTATCAGGTTACAAATCTGGGTATGATCGTAACAATTCAAGGAGTAGAACATGATGCTAAATTACAGGATCAGTTTCTAGCAAACTTAGAAAAATGTATTCCTTTAATGCAATATAAGATTCTTTGGTTAAAGCATCTGCCAAAGCATAAATGTAATGCTGCCTTTAATAATGAAATATGCAGGACAAATTGGGCTGCAAACATATTTGTAAGAGATTTTTTTCAGCACCAGCATTTCTCTATAAACTATGCTCTTTTCCACCCAAGTTATTCATGAATCACTTATACAGAAAGAGGGAACCAGCCCATGGTGGTGGCGTTGCCAACTCCCAATAAACATTATCTATTATGGGAAAAGCTGTTAATCTGGTCTCAGATCAGCAGTGAAGGGCACCTTCTTACCTACACAGAAAGAAACCTGCTGCTTCCAACAGATGGACTGCAGCAAAATGGCCCCTTTGGACAGATTTTTTACATTTTTTTTTTTTTTTGCTTGTGGAAAAGAAGCTAATGGCATTTTTCTGTTTTAATCTATTAACTCAAAATGGACTCCAATATAATGAGTGAAAACAGTGAAGGGTGTTTTAATAGGAACGGCGCACTTGTGTGCAAAGGAATTCCAACTATTCTCTCACTATTACATTCTTTGGCCGGCTTTATCCTCAGACAATATCAGAGCAAAGCAAACAAAGAATGGAGAGAAACTTGGACAATGAGTCATCCAACCACCATACAAAGAGAAAGCAAATGCTTTCATTCTTTAGTGAAAATGGAGGTCAAATCGGCAAAAGAAGTGTTTGTGTGAGTATGTGTGTATATGGGGGTTGATGATGTACAAAATCGGGACCCATGACCCACAGGAGCCTATTTGTCTAGATCTGCTATCGATCCCAACCCAAGAAGGTTTAGTCTCAGAGGGTAAGTATCTGCCTGTGAGCTGCTTGCATGAGCTCCTGGGGTTTACAGCACTTAAATGGTGAACTGAAGTGTAGCGAAAGGAAAAAGTAAACAGACCCAAGGTCAAGAAGACAGAGACTGTGTAAGAGAAGCGGAAAGAGATGAACGAAGCAATGAAACAGAAGGGAGGGAGGGCCACATCCATAGATTCAGAGAGGCAATGCAGTCGAAATAACATTTGCGGCTGTGGCCATGACAACAAGACTGCAGACTGCTAATCAAAAGTGACTGTGTGGTGTGGAAAATGCAAATATTTAAAAACACAAAAAAGATTGTATATTTGGACGTTATTAATGTACTCAGTTAATAGTTCACAGCTGAGTGAACTACAGGAAGGAATAGAAAGTAGGAAAGAGTACAGTAAAAGAAAAGTAGTCGCACTAAATCCTATTGTCTCCTGCTTCACTGTTCCACTTCCTCTGACAGGCGCTTCAAAGGACACAGCATTTCCTGTTTAATTGGCCACAGTCAGGACTCTCTAAAGCATTGCATCAGACTTGAGACACTATTCATCCAGCTATATTCTCTTTCATATTAGGGGTGCACAATATACCGGCACCATATCAATTATCGGCTGATATCGGCAATTAAAAATACATATAATAATAATAATTTAACTATATTTAAATATTGAATTAAAATAATGTATACATTTAACTACTTTTAGCTATTTAATTCATTTTAGATGTTTATTTTATTAGCCGATATTAAATATTTATCGCCGATATTGCACTTAAGATTACGTCTGCAATCTTTTACAAACGATTTGTTTTTACAAATATTTTTACAACAATAAATACATTTTTATACATGCATATATTTTTTTTTTCCACGGTAAAATGGTTTGCTCACTCTCTGATTGGCTGAATGCCTGTTTTAGACTTTTTTTGAAAGAATTTGGATATAATTCTGCATAACAGAAGCTGATCCAAGCTTTACAAGCATTTTCAAGCTGGTGCTTCTTTTCGACAGCTCCGCAAACAGCACTGCATGATGGGAACAAAAAGGCCCCCTGCCATATATGTGGCGATGACCCTAATCATGGTGCATCTGCCATCTGCTACCATGATGTCTCTCATCAGACAGCATGTTACTGCTGAACCAATCATGTCTCTTCTGTGATAAGACGAGAGCCAATCAATACACGCTAAATTTGATTACAGAAGCTCAAAGGCTGACAACCTTGGGAATGATGAGATCCTCTTCTGTGAAAAGCGGACTAGTGAGAGACACAGAGGATGGAAAAGAGAAAAATCTAACTAACGTGGAAGATAACGCCTGTGTTAGTATCTGGTATGATAGTGAACATTACAAGGAGAGATTTCAGTAGACTCCGGATGAAAATGGAGGTCAGGATGGAAAGGGCAGCGCTGCATGATGAGTGAATCGCACACACATTTTTTACAACTGCCATAAACTTGTAGCACAAGGACCATGTCACAGCATAAGCTTGTGCAATGAATCCTTAAAGTGCATGAGGAGGGGAATGGCAGAGAATGGAGGTGAGAAAGAGAGAGAGACAGTCAGCCAGAAAGACATGCTGTTTGTAGTTAGTGCTCATCTCAGCGTTCAATAGAACAGGACTCCTCACGTTCTCACGTGATTAAGTGATGAAGATGGTCATGTGCAGGTTTTCTGGATGAACTGAAATGGTGCTGCTGTACAATCATGTTCAATGAAAACACACCTCCCATGAGAGAGAGAGTGAGAAGACAGAGAGAATGAGCGGAGGACAGAGAGGAGACAGCTGCACACCTATGTACATGTCAAGATGGATACCTCAAATATATGAAAACATTTCGAAAATTTAAGCAAAGCCACCAGACATTACAGAAAATGGTTAAAAAGCCAAGTTGCACGATATTTACCGTGACCAATGTATTATTCATTCATAATTAGGAAAATTAAGTTATCATCTTTTATACAGATAGTGGAATTAAAGGCAATTATTTTAACTGCATTTCCTGAGCATCAACCCGGTGAGTGAACAGCATTATGAAAGCGGCTTCACGAGACTAATGATGAGCATAGACAACAGACAGAGAATTAAATTTTGCGTTTTTATTTCCAACATGCGCTCATTCATGGCTGTATTATTTAATTAATGCAAAGTTATGTCTTTATTGGGAGAGGGTTACGTCTTTATTGGGACAGGACTTGACGGATTATTTTACGTGACTCCGTGAGTTCGTCTCTATTTCTTCGAGCCAAGCTGCATAAACTGCATATCAGGCATTTATGTAATACATCTAATTTGTGCATTAATGGCTGTTATGTTAAATAAAGTTTACTAACTACAGTAAATCAAGTACCCGTGCACGCCGTTGTTGTTGTCTTGTTTCCCCTCAGATGCGCTGCAATGGTGATCCTGCTCGCAATTCTCAAAACATCCACAAGATGGCGGCGTTTATCGGTGAATCCGATATTACAAAACCGATATCCGATTATTGTAAAATGCTTAAATATCGGGAAAAATATCGGTAAATCGATATATCGGTCGATAACAGTGTTAGTATGTAAGTGTGAGCCAAATAGACACAGTATTTGATTATTGTGTTTGGCCTCATTTAAAGCAGAATCATCTGCTGTAATTAAAATTCTTACAGCTGATATTCAACTGAATATTTTCTTTAATTTGTGAAAATTCATGTATTAAAACATGTATATATTATATATTATTTATATATTATCTATATCATGATATATTACTCGATAAGGTCCTTCAAATAAATAAAAAATATAAATAAAAAAAACTCACCTTCCCAGTAACAGCAGACCATACTTTGAGTGTGTTGTCGTCTGAGCCGCTCACTATACGGTTTCCACAGAACTGGAGACAGGTGATGACATGGTCGTCATGGCCTTTCAAGACCTGAAAATAGAGGAAAGCCAAGAGAGAAAAAGGAGTAATTACAAAATGAAAAGAAATGCTAGTGTTTCGGTGATGTGCGAGAATGATGTGATGCTGCTGATGTGGCAAATGACACAGCAGTTTTCAATAACATGACAGAGACAAGCAAGAACCGACAGGTTCAAGGTCACCATGGCAACAAATGATTTAGGTAAACCACTGCTGTTGCCAGTTGGTCTGGTGCAGCTGAAGCATGTGTACATAGGTAACTGAAGATTCCTATTTTTTGGCACCTAAATGTGCCTTCAAGAGGACTTTTAAGTAGCTCTTTTCAGGCTGGTGCAGACAATTTCTTAAACATTTCTGTTCCAAGCTTGTGCCCCAGGTGACAGGTTAATGGGTGTCTCTCAAAAGGAATTCCCAATTAGATGGCCAACAAAGACTATAAAAAGCAATATAAATCAGCTTTAAGCACCAATTCTGCCCAAGTGAGTAAAGTGATTTAATATGATGCCTTACAGTAACAAAGAACTAGGAAAATGAAATGAAGGAAAAATGTATTTGATCACAAATACAGTAAAAACAGTGAAATACTAGAGATTTAAATAATTGTTTCCCTTTTTAACATACTTTTAGATGTAATTTATTTCTGTGATGGCAAAGCTGTATTTTCAGCAGCCATCTTAGACCTCACATGATCAGATATTATTCTAATATTCTGATTTGGTGCTCAAGAAATATTATTATTATGAATTATGAAAACAGCTGTGCTACTTAATATTTTTGTGGATTATTTTTCATGACTCGTTGATAAATAGAAAGAACAGGATTTATTTGAAACAAATCTTTTGCAGCATTACACATCTGTAATGTCACTTTTATATAAAAATATAAAATGGAAGAAAACAATCTCACTGACCCCAAACTATTGAATGGCACTGTATATATAGTTTCAATCATATATTTATAAAATAAAGATTAGATTCTATCTTGTGATGTATCAATGTTTTTGCTATTTGATGTGCCTTTCAGACTGGGCATCAACATTGGGAATCTCATTTAAAATGGGTGTATATCTTGAGAAGACCACTTTGTAGGACACTATCAGGGAATGTACTGGTGAATTAGGAGTGAGAATAAGAAGTGAACAACACGCTACCTTGGGTGATTTGAGGTCTCCTCTCCTCCAGTTGGTGTCTATTCTGTGTTGTCTAATATAGGCACTCTTCCAGGGACTGTGTGTGAACCCTGGCTTGATAACCTTCCTTCTCTTTATGTACAAGGGTTCATCAATACCTGCAAAACAGTTGTTTTCTATGTTGATGACACTAATGATTCAGTGCATGATATATAACCATATATTAACAATATACATGTGGTTAAGGGATGAATTTCCAAAGTCACAAAGTTTGTGGAAAGCAGTAAAAATCACCTTCTTCTTTGCATTTTTCCCTCCATAGCAGGTTGTCCTCTGCTAGAATGCGCCAGTAACGACACGTTTGAGCTGCCTGAAGCAGATCCTTTGGCTCCAGAAATGACAACACGTGTAAGGCCAACTACAACACAAGACAGACAGACAGAGTCAGACATCAGGAGAAGGTGAGGATAGGAAAAAGTAGGCTACAACTGGATAATTTAGACCAATTAACCGTATTAATTTAAGGTCTTCACTTGATCACAAGTAGAGTGACAAAGTACAATTTGTCAAAGTACAGATTTTGTTCTGTTCTCCCATTTTCAAGAGCACTGCAATTGGCAAAGACCTCAGACAGAGCATGTCCAAACAGTTCCTCCATTCCTTATGCAATCTAACATGAAGGTTGCAGCCTGAGATTCCACAGTGTGTACAGTATTAGCCTAGAGGAGCTTTTTCCACAATCTGCTTCAATCAGGCAGACAGACACACCCTGAATACTACTGCACTGACACAGAAGAAAAACAACCTGGTGGGGAGGAGAGCCAGGAAAGAGGGAGACAAGATGACAGGTGATGGAGAACAAGAAAGGCAAGCTGAAACCGTGACAGGAAGAAGAGAGGATGAAAGGCAGAGGGCTGCTGTTAAAGAAAGAAAAAAGCAGAGAAAGGGAAGGGGATGGGGGAGTTTCCTCTCTATATTCCTGAATAGCAGCTGAGAGAGTTGTAATATCTCTCTGAAGAGGTGTAAGAGAGGACGTGCCTGTCAAATGAACTCCAGCACTTACTGTGCTCTAAAACCACCCTGTCAAATATCAGAGCCATAAAGTGCAAGACTGTGTTAAAATTAAAATTAAGAGAAATGAAAAGGTCCTTTTCAAGATCTGGGCTTTAGTAGATTCATAGTGAAATGTACGAGTTTTAGAAAATAAATAAGAATGAAGGTCCATTCCTAAAACTAACCTATAAATGAGATTGTACAAATACATACAAATTAGCAAACAATTTGCCAAAACGAAACATTTTTCAGCAGCCTTGGTTCCAGAAGCATTTTTCTTATTCATTTTCCATTTTTATTTACTAAAGAGATATAAGCCATGAACCAACCAACGAGCTGCAAGGTGAATCACAACATTACACATTTTGATTTGAAGGGGGAAAAAATTTTAAAAGGTACAAGACAGCGAACTTAAGGACTTTGAGGTAAATAACTACAATCCCATGAAGTAGTGTGGATGACAAGCAATTAAAAAAAGATATATAAAAATCTATTTAAAAATGTTAGATTATATATATAAAAAACGATCTATTTTACATCAATGGCAAAATATGCATCAATACACAAATGAGTGGGCACTAAAGTGTTCTTTTGGTGTAATTTTATCTTATGCTTTTCATACATTATTTGTAGAATTATTGGTAATGTAGTTTTTCATCAGGAATTCCACTGTTAGACATGATTATCAAAAAAAAAAAAATACATTGATATTATGCAGGTTAATGGCTTCAACAAAAGCATTCTTTAACAACCTCTTCACTCAGAGTAGGTATGAATTTAGTGGTTTGCAAGTTATCATTAAAAATCAGTTGCACTCTATTGGATACAAATTTGTCTTAATCTGGAAATATCTAATCTGATTGACTATGCAACTTCTATTCAACGTCTTCTACTTTAAACTACTTGCCTAAATTTGCTATGTTAGTAGCATCTAAAAGTTGAAAGATAATCAGTGTTTTGTTTTCATTAACTTCAGTTTTTCTGGGGAAAAGAATGTATTTGATGAAGTTTCTGAATCTTAAAATGACTGTGTGAGTGATCTTATATATAAATTTACCTCTCTGGGCAGGAGTGAGATGAAGTCTCTCTGAAACTGTGGTTCGATCACCTGCATCATGTGTTTCACCTGCGTGGGCTCACAGCTGTCAATCAACTCATCCAGCGCAAGCAGCTTCTCTGGGCCACTCCAGCTCTGTTAACACACATCAGCACATATGTTACCAAGAACACAAAGAATGTGCACATCCAAGAGCCATCCATTTCCATTTAGAGCTTTAGATTTACATTTTAATTAGAACTGGCGATGCTTTTTCGCTGGCTATACAGCAGCAACTTCTGGCATGAGCGTAACCATGAAGGTTCTCGTAAGTCAAATGGATCAGACTTCGTGTCTTGGGGCTGTTGGAAACTTCCCAGGGTTCGTTCTCCTAAAATTAAGCTGCGGTCAACTTCATCCAGTTGAATAAAATGTTTCGCTGATCTCATGGTGCTCGGAACTTAATTCGCTCTCAGTGAGTTCGCGCTGCACCGAAAAGATTGTGCCAAAGTCATTCCGCTCTGAAGCGCATCAAATGAGAGAGGAGGATTGCTCAGGGATGTTTATGATGGAAGAGGGATGTACAGAAAAGGACTATGGGGAGGCAAAGCACCCGTAATTTACTGCTGAAACGCTTCAGCTGGGGGAACTCGGCGTTGTTGTCACAGGCTGGTTTATGTCTATATGTGTTTATGCAAGGATAACTGCCTCTTTTAACAGCTCAAAATAATAAGACAACATTATACAGTTGAGGGAAAATCTGATTGAAATGTTCAATTCTGTCGATTCTTTAATTGAAGCCAACAAATTAAACTAAGCAAAAGACACATACAGGCTTCCCAAACTTAATGAATTTCCATTACTTTTCAAAGACATTGTCATTTGTGATTACTTGATAAGGCTTTTTAAAAATAATTTAATAGATAATGCACTTACAAAGAGCAAGTTTAGACAATGTAAGCAAGTTTAATAATAATAATAATAATAATATGTATTATTATTTTATATACACTACCATTCAAAGGTTTGGAAAACATTGTGAAAAATGATATAAAAAATTCACAAGGTTGCAATCTAGTGCCAGACTTCAACCCTGAACACACAGAACTGCCACTAAGATATATCACCACACAAGCTTCCACTGTAGAATGCAGAAATGAGACATTTAATGTGAATCACGTAAGTGATAGTGAAGCTGCTGACTCATAGGGATGCGCGGTGTCATTTGCACCTCCTGAAATAAGCCTTACAATAACTCAGGACAGAAACAAGCAACTCAACAAGCACTGACTGAGCAAACAAGCAAAACAGTTTCTGAACCCATTGGCATAATGGTGTAGACAGACCACTACTGAAAGGATATTGTACCTGACTGTTGATTCTGTCTAAGACAGCATCTCACAACTCACCTTTGATGTCATAAAGGATTACGTGCACACTTTTATTGAAGGATCTTTTGAGTAAATGGAAATCTAGCATATCACTCAATTAATTCGGAAGAAGCAAGAACATATCTTGGGTGAAACTTTACTCATTAGGTGAAAGCTTCTTCATCCTTTCAGTCAACACAGGTATCTGTGATTTCATGCCAGAGCAGCTTCGTTAAGCCCGAGGACTGATCAAGCCTGTAATTATCTGCAAGGCAGAGTAAACACTGACTGAGGTGGAGCCCTCTGCTTTCTGTTGAGGCTTGAATTGTTATTCTAGTAAGAGGGATATGACATGATGATATGAAGATCTAAATAGTTCCAAACTTGTGGCATAATGGCCACGTGTTCAAATATCAAGTATAGATTCAGTCAGATGATGATCTAAGTAACAACAGTATTTAATACATTAAAACCAGACTACAGCAAAAGTTATGGTCCTCAGCAGAAGCTCTGCACATGACATGCAAATGAGGAATGAGGAAACAGTAAGTAATGGATACAAATTCTCAATTCGTGGCCACAATATCTTGCTTACCCTTGTTTCCCCTGCATGTGACACATGGGACTCTTTAGTAATTGTAATAAAGGCTCATTATAAGCGCAAACAATCTGATTGTACATTTTGTTCTGACTGCCACATTTGAAGCTGCTGTACAATAGCCGATATATGCACATCTGTGATTTAAATTCTATATTAATGCTTGGTGAACTTTATATACTGTCCACTGATAACCATAAACAGGCTACAGTTAGGCTAAGTTAAGTTAATTTAACCATGAAGTTAATCTGTTAAATTAATAAATTAATCTGGAAAGTCTGGTCACAAACGGAATCAAATAGTTTGGTTGAACTCACCTGAAAGGTGCGGAGCCACTCCTGCAGGCCTGTAGGGGGCTGGATGGATGTGATACGTCGTCTCTGCTGACCCTGCCCATTGACTGCTCGAATGTCCCTAAACGTGGTGGGGGTGGCTGGATACGGCAGTCCTGTGGGACTGTTCGGTGAGGGTAAGGGAGAGAAGGATGAGAACAGAGGAAAACTAATTAGACAAGAGTGGGAAAGAGACAAAATAAGATTTAAAACACATTAAATTAAACCATTTGTAGCAAAAATATTCTAAGGGCATTCTGGTGAGACATCTGTATTGTGGTAATTCAAGAATATGGTGCAAGCCTGTCGTTTATGGAAGATTTCAAAACAAAATGGTTCTGTGGATGAAGCTACTATGGAAATCTGAGGCTTTATTTCAGAACAATAGCTTGAGAATTACAGCCAAAACCAAAGTGGTGAGTTAGACTGAATCTGTGCCAGATGAGCACTACAGTCCACTCGAGCCGCTGTTGTGGTCCAACATTAGACAACATGACCATTTACTTCAGCCTCAGAACTCTATCAGGCAGCATGATTTTATTCAGCCACCTGCTCCAAACCGATTCATTCAGATGTTTATCTTCACCTTTGTTTCATTCATGGAAACCCTTTTCTGTTGACTTTTTACACTTTTTTAGAGTCCATCTAAAACATGCTCAAAAGCATTTAATGTATGCAAACTATTAAGAACTGAAGCACATTTCCTTTTCCACTTGTGGTGAGAAAGGGACACAGAGAGTTGTCCCATGTCAGCAGTCCTTACAGCACTTCTGCGTCTCTGGGGCCATACACTAACACCAAAAAGACGATTCAGCACTGTTTCCTTGCATTCTGCTTATCTACGGATACCTTCTCCGGTGCAAGAAATGCTCAGATGAGAAGGAGAGAGGGAAGGGTGCAGGCGAGCACGTAGTGAGGTCCGTTTCATAATGGATTCATATTTAATGGGATTTGAGACCAAGATGCCAAGATGCTTCAATTACCCAGCGTGCAACTGCCGCCTGGTTGGTCGTGTACTGTTCTAATATGAACCATGAGAACACCTGCGTCTTGAGAATAAGGCATGAATACTCGTCAGAGCTGACTGCTGAGCTTGGGTTTGAGTTCATGTTTAAGGGGTTTCAGAGTGACAGTGTGTCATTTCTAAACTATTAGCAGGTCCAAAATAAGCTAGATTTGCATTTCCTGATGTATATAGTACTTCTTGCAAGGTAGCAAAAGAAAATATGATCATAATTCTGTATGCAAGTAAGTGTTAAAAATGTTTCCTCAAAATTTGTGAATTTAATTTAGGTGAAGAAGTAAAAATGTATGAATTAAGCTACGTTTTTATCCCATGCGTTCTAAAGGACAGCATTATAATTTCCGTAGAAATTTGCGCAAGACTAGGAATACTTGTGGTTAAGAGCATGCAGACAAAAAAATCTGATGGACATTGTGCTTGTTATCGATCGAAGTGGGGGTGGGGATTAAAGCCAGACATCTGAGCAAATTATTTAGGTCACATGACATTTTTGATGCAGGAATGTATGTAAAATGTGTTTTTGATAGTTTATGTTCATTTGTTACTTTTTTAATAATTTCTCCCACCTTACTTTTTATTAGCATCTTAGCGTTTTTATCCAGCATTTTTTGTGATATCTTAAAAAATTGTGGATGGAAACCAGGCTAATGGGGGATTATCAAACATTAAAATAAATATACACTACTCTTGTAAAGTTTGGGATCAATAACATTTTTTAATTTTGTGAAAAAAAATCTCTTATGCTCAACAAGGCTGTATTTATTTGATCAAAAATACACTCAAAAACAGTAATACTGTATTATATTATTACAATTTAACAATTTACTATTTTAACATATTTAAAGAAAATAATTTATTCATGTGATGTAAAAGCTGAAGCAACCATTACATATTGCTGATTTGGTGCAATATATTAAATACTGGAAAAAGGTTGTGCTACTTGTTTTTATAGAAATCATTACACATTTTTTCCCCCTGTGACTTTTCTGTGATTTTTCTTTTTCTTTTTTCAAAAGAACTTTCTTTTGTAATCAATTTAATGCATCTTGGTATTTCTATTTTTTTTTTTAATTACATTTAACTTAATTAAAATCTTAAATCTTCAATTTTATTTAATAAATACAATATTTTTTAAATAAACAAATAAATAAAAAAATTATAAAAATTACATTTAATTTAATTAAAATCTTAAATCTTCCATTTTATTTAATTAATAAAATAATTTTGTAATAAACGAATAAATTAAAAATAATAAAAATAATCCATAAAGAGGGATATATCTCATACAACTCTGTTACTGTTCTAAAAGGCAGATGTGACCAATAAAATAGAATGCAACACAGGCTAAAACATTTTGCTGGTTTCAGGTAAGGTGGCAAAAGATTTACCTTGGACAGGGCTTTTTTCCTGAAGGGAAAGGTCGAACCTCGGGGCCATGGTCCAACTTCCTCTTCATCTGCAACAAAGAGCAAGGAGAGTGCTGGTTAGTTTGGGTTCACAGAGGACAAAACAATAATGACAGCACAAACAACCAGCAAAGCAAGTTGACAGTAATGAGAGGGTGGATGTCCAAGAAATATTTCTAAAACATTCCTCAACCTGTTTCAAACCACATGCTACTGATCCACCTGTGTTCTTTCCTGTGTTAAGAGGTGACTGAGCGAGTGGGTATTGTACTAGTGTGTGTTGGGTATTGTGCTAGTTCTCTCACCACCAAATGTAGGCCAAAGGAAGGAAGGTCATGTCCACTTTATAGTGACATGGCACAGAAAAGATAAAGTCTGACAGCTGATGCTAACGCTTGTCATTTGAGTCTTCAAAGAGGTGTATGTGGTAAACACACACCCCTCACAGGAGTTGGAAAGGGGAGCACATACACACAGACACACATCTGTGTGGGCGTGACAGGCACTGTGCTTTCACAACAGTCTAAATTTATATGGGCATAAAGGAGAAAAAAGAGCCACCCTCCTATGCTTCACTGTCTCTTTCTATGTCACCCACCCCCCAAACACAGGCTGAAATGGCCCTGGTTTTGCTGCATAGTTGGTGCCTGGCTACGGAGCATCTACTCTGGAAAAACAAGGGTTCAGTGTCCTCAACACAATGAGGTCCTAAAGCACATCTGAATAAAACTATTTTAGGAGGGTACAGGGCTGTGTAGTTCACTTTCAGGAGGAGCTCAGTGATAGACTCGGAGTTATAAATGATTGTGCCCTGCCAAGGGTTTGTGAGTCATTAAGTATGTAAGCACAAATTAAGAGTGATGAGTAAAGACTTTCACTACTGAATTAAGTCCATACCGTTTACAATGCAGTTATGCATCATGGTAATTAACAGGTCTGAAATGATATTCAAATTACGATGGCATTGTGCTTGTAAGGAACATTCAGTACTTACAGTTATTAGTACTATATAATAGTAACTATTTAAAAAAAATGTCATATCAATGTCTCTAAAAAATAGTAAACACTAAAAAAAAAAGGGTATACTGAATAAACAGCCAGAATACAGTGTTTAAAGAGTACATCTGAGGTAAAAGAACATTATTATGCTACAAACATAATTTATATTTATATTGATATATTTATTTATATTTAATACATATATATATATTCTGCAATATTGCATTACATTGATAAGAAGTGCCAGTAAAGACTTTTATATTGTTACCAAAAAAAAATCTAAATTTTAAATGCTTTTCTTTTGAAACATTTAAAAAAAAAAAAAAAAGCTTTCAACATTGATGACAATAAAGACTGCTGAAAATTCAGCTTTGCCATTACAATCAAAAAAATCACATTAAGAAACATGAAAGACATGTTACTAAAAATTGTAATATTTCACATTACTTTTTTACTGCATTTTGATCACATAAATGCAGACTTTGAGTATTAAAGACGTATTACTTCTAATTACTGTTTATAACAATGATAAAGGTAATCTTCAGCAAATCTTAAAATGGACATTCATTTTTCATTTTCTATTGCATGATGTGATGCCTAAATTCACCTGTAGCATTTTGAAACACTGACTCCATAGTATTTTATTTTTATATAAGCAATATACTTTATTTTTTTTATTTTATTTTTTATTATTATTTTTTTAAATTTATGCCATTTATCAGTTATTGGCCATAACAACAATAATCACTGATGTATCACTATCAGTGACCATTTTAATATTAATGCATTCCTAGTTTTTCTTAAAGCATTCATGACATTTCATGGAATTATGCATGTAAACGTGCTCACGGTTGACCTTTTTGTGGTAAATTTAGAGTTTTGTCCTACAGTAAAAATTACATTAATTGGTCTTGATATTCAAATGAAACCAATAAAACACTCGCATGATCACATTTGCAGCAATTGATCTAATGTCAGAGGAGCCAGGTGTTTGATACACTTGAGTGAGGTCGAGCTGAAAGGTGTGTCTGATAATGAAGCTCGGTATGGATTTCTGAAGGGACCACACTCTGAGATTCACAGTAAATGAGGGCCGGAGAGAGAAAAAAACAGCCAAAAAAACCCCCACAGATTAAGTACAACAGAAACATCCATAAATTGTGGAAATAAGACCAAATCTAATTAAATAATAATTTGATTCAATGTATACAGTCTAGTCTTTTTCAGAACATAGTCCCATTTATTTATTAACCCCCTCCAAATCAAGTTTGTTTTACAGGCCAGCTTGGCAAGGATCAGTTTAGACTGAACAGCAGCTGATTGCTCAGCCAGTGATCTCACTGCAAAGGTAGTCCAACAGATAGGACAGGCAGGGTGTGTGTGTAAATACGTATGAATGAAGATAAGATAGTAAAAAGATGGCATGACACTGAAGATGCATGAAAGTGTATGCCTGTAGCTGTGTGTGTTCAAGAGCATTGAGACTCTCTCACATTACTCCACAAGAATGTGCAACAAAACACGCAGGCAATGCCACACGTGCTAATCACTGCTAATAGCTAAACCTGTCTAGCCTACTTGGTAAAAAGCACTTAACACAAAATAGCATGAACTAAGTAAAAGCATTCATTTGCTTAGTTATACATTAATTTCACTGAGTGGATTAGACTGTCGCTTCTCTCTTGGGTTCACAGCGAGAGCCATCTGATTTTAGATGAGTCACTGTGTAATCATTCTCCATGTCTGACACCACAGTGCAGAAATGGCTTGGTCTGTGGTTAACAGGAATGCCTGTGTTCATGCAAACCGGTGCAGTCTTGGCAAATAACCTGTTTTAGTGAATAAATCCTGTGATTTATGAATTAATAACCTTGCTATGGATTTCAGAAGCTTCTTAGATTGGTAATGACTACATATTTAGACTATGCAAGAGTGCTGTGCTTCACAAATACAACCCAGTCAAATACAAATACAGCAGTCATGAATTACTAGAAGTCAAAACTTGAGTATCATGAAGGTTAGGGATAAAATCACATGATCCATTCTCACATTTTGTCCATCTAAGAACATCAAACATCCTTAACGAGCTTCGTTTTTATAAGCAAACAATTAACGAGATTGCCTGGAGCATCCGTCGACATCGCTGTACTTCACTCGATGTTGTTCTGATCAGAGGACACCCTGAAAACTGCAGTGACTGCGAGCTTCTGATAAGCTCTCCGCTTTAAACGCTCATTTCACTCAAATTTACAATCATAACGTGTGAGTTTTCGGGACAGATGTGGCTCCGTTTCCTCCGTCAAATGCAATGACACAGTAACCCAATCATTGTGGTCTGATGCCGCCAGGCAGTGGAGAATATACACACCCTTCAACAGGCAGCACAGAAACTGATGCTTTACCACACTGACACGACTCAAAATAATTACAAAATCATTCACATAGCACAACACCGAAGCTATAGCACATTCGTGACTGTACGTTCCACGTTAACATGACCACAATAACAGTGAGAGAGTCCAGATACTGTTTCTGCTCTATACCAGCCTACATGACTGCAAAGCACAAATTAATATTACCAACAGGTTTACTTTGAATGGTGCAGTAAGATGAGAATCAAATACGATAGCATACTCTTTTGAACTATCAAATAAGAGTCAAGCAGTTAACTCTTATAAGATCAAATAAATCATCTATACAAGTACACAAGACTACGATGGATGCGGTGATGGTGAGATGCATGGGGATGGATAGATATGTATGATGTAGGGATCGCAGGTGCAGTGTGTGTGTGTGTGTGTGTGTGTGTGTGTAAGGATGGGCAGATGGTAGAGAAATAGTGATGGAGCCTCTGTTCTCCAAACCCGTTCCATATTTAAGCACATCACATCCTTTTCTACATATGAGGTTCTTGTCAAGAAGACTCAAAGTAGGTTCACGTGAATGAATATCGCGAAAGGTGATTCTCTATGTCAGCTGGAGATTTTTCCGCAGTGGCTGTATATAAGAACAGTCGCATATTTCACCGACGCACCCTTAAAGACGAGCACCGAGGTCGTGTACGCGTTCAGAGCGCGACGCGACAAACTCGAACGCTGGCATAATAATCAACCAAGATGTGTACATTACACTCGCGCGCATCGTATTTGAATATTACACATCGCGCTGTGCGAACCGACATCGCAGGCTCGCAGTGTACGCCGCTTCTTTAATTTATAATGGGAGCGTTCCTGTCGCGTCGCGTCAGGGCTGATGGGGTATTAAAGCGAGCCCCCCGAGAGAAGGCGGATGGCCGTATGAATATAAAAGCCGCAGTGCACCCAACACGAATAACGGCGTGTACTCACTTTATAGAAGATCATCTTTAAAGTGCCGTAGAAACCCATGGTGATGGTGATGACGATAATCCGGCTGTGATTCACTGAGAGTCGATGAAGAATTTATGGAAATATATCTGCGTGATAAGGGCTCTATTAATCCCGGATAGATCCGACAGGGACATACTCATCCACGGACGGATGCATATGAAGCCGAACGGAAGAAACCAACGACTCGCCCCGTCTGTCTCATTGACCGTCCTCTGAGCGGACTGAATGAGCGAACAGAAGGAGAGAGACGGGAGGGGAGAGAGAGAGAGAGAGAAGGAGAGAGAGAGAGAGAGAACGAGACCCTGCCCTCTTCAGAGCCTCCCCTCTTCCTGACACCCAAAAAAAACCCCTGGACTTTCTATTTCTTTCTATTAGTAGGGACTGGAGTCATATAATATTATTTTAAATGATGTTTCTACATAGTAAAGCACTCAAGATTTTGTGAAATATATCTAGAAATCTTTTGAAAACATATACATACCACACACACACACACACACACACACACACACACACACACACATATATATATTGAAGTGAAAGATCACTTTGAATGGGTTTATTGGCAACTGTATATTATTCCATGTTGCATGTTGCAATGCTGCTTCTGAAATACACAGACATGAAATTAATTAATTGCATGAGAAGACGAGATTTAGAAGAGACTAGAGTTTTGAAGGGAG